CAGCCTCTCTGCTCCTATGATGCTGCTTGGCCTGCTGTGTTCATCCAACCCTGCATCTCTATGTTTATGAGATCCTTTTTTTACTTCATCCGCTGTCTCAGTTTAGCCTTAGTCAATTAACCCTGACTATTTCAAATATCCATTGTAATGTCTTCTAATGCCTGAAAGGTCTTAGCAACATTCAAAGCCATTTTGAAATTCTAATCCATCTAATAAACCTCCCCACATTACTCCTGTTTTATGTTCAGTACCTCAGTATACTCAATTTTTTTTAAAAGAGACAAATCCCTCAAATTCGTGAATTTCAATTCAGCAAGAGTTCTCACTTTGTTATGATCCCAGCTGATGGCAATATTGAACAAATCAGATCCTAGAATGAAATCTACAAGATAGATCAGATCTTTATATTTTGTAGTTGACAACTATGGTAGTTGATCACTGGCACATACTCAACAAGGCTGAGAATGTTTGAACATTAGTTTATACAAGACACTTTGAAAGATCTTAATAGAAACAGTAAACACTTATTATCAACCTGTTCCCTAACACTATTCTGTGGCAGATACTCAATCACAGAAGAATACCACTCCTGCTGCTACTGTTTATCACTTAACTGACTCTTCCCAGTTCCTTTCCATTGCACTGCTGAGAAAGTTTTACGATTCCTTTTCGAGTTGCATAACCCTTATGCAATTCTGATAGTCTAAACGGTTTTTGAATTCTAACAACTTCTCGTTTGGAAGTTTCACTAACTAAAATCACTTTTGTTAGCACGACTGATTCCTTTGAACTGACAACTTGGTTCTCCTACTAGAACGTACTGAAGTCAAGACAAAACTAATGGCCCTGATCTGTTTTCTCGTAAACTTAGCATTATAAACATTTCATCCTTTAACGCCACAGGTGTCCAGCCAGGCACTTAGTCACATGCCTTCTTGTAAATGATGTATGTAGGTCACAGTTCCAAATGTCTTTCTGACATGACCTTTAAAACAAAAGGCTTTACAGCAATGATCAAACTTCATCTGCCTCTATTTTAAAATCCACATACCAAATGTCAATAGTATATGGTATAGTACACCTTTTATCACATCTTACAAAATCGCAGAGCTGTTTAAAGTAGCTGGATGGCCTCCTCCTGCTTCTTATTCATACGTTCATATGTAAATAGCTGAGAACGGCAGAAACTATAGAAAACTTGGAAAACGGAAGATAAGGAAAATGCAGGGAACAAGATTTAAATTGAAAGACATTTTAAAATGAAGATACATCAAGGTTTGAAGTCATTCAGGTCACTATTCAGACCGGAGAGTGTATGGTACTTTGAAGAATGATGGTTTATTGTTCTTGAAATCTGAGTTGTATTTCATAGTCTAATGGCAGTGAGATTGTTGACCTCTCAACAATTTATGAATAGTTTTAAGGTATCTGGGGTTGAAAGTCTGTGAAGGGTCTGTTTCCATGCTGTATGACTCTAATAGTCTAATAGTCTAATAAGATGTTAATATACCAAAATATTATGCCATTAGACCATTCAACTCACAAAGCTACAGCTGGATCTCAAAAATTGGGGCTGATTTCAAATTACAGCAAAATATTCAGTCAGTAAATTGTTGCTAGATTAATAGATTTGAGCTCAATGTCTTTCTGTCTTGTACATTTCAGTAGTAATCATGGCTAATTCATTGTCTTACATAAAACAAAAACCTCTAAATGCTGGAAGCTGAAACACTCAGCACATCAATCAGAATCTGAAACAATAGAAGATAAGTTAATGTTTCGGATGTATACTGTCCAGCAGAAATGAAAAATGTGCAAGTTGGAAAAGCTGAAAAAGCAGAAAGCAAAAGGGGAAGGAAAGAAATATTTAGTCAAGTCCTAATGAGGGCGTTAAGTGATTTAAAGAACTGCAAATTGTGAAATAGAAAATTATAAATAATCTTGTTTATTTAATTCACTGGTCTAGAATATGTCCTAACATGGGATTCTCACAGTGCAGTTTAGCACTATGCACTTTAAGTCATTGTGCATATTTCTTACTATACAGATTTAAAGGAACTGCAATCCATACTTCGTCTCATAGTTCCACAAGCGTATAGATCTATCCACTGAACTGGTGGCAACAAGGGGTTTTCGAATGCAGATATCCAAGCCTGTGATGACATTGGAGTGGAATGATTGACAGAGAAATTCAAAATGTGCCAGCTCGCTCTGTTAAAAATAAGACAAAATAGATCTGAAAATTTGCAAAACAATGGATTAAGCATACAGTCAAATGTCACTGCACCTCGAATAAGACAGGATATGAAGTAGAACTAAATTTTCAGGTCGGAACTTAATTTTTCTGAATCTGTTCTGAAAAAGGGTTACTGGACTGAAACATTAACTCTGTTTTCTCTCTAGACCCGCTGAGTTTCTTCAGAAATTTCTGTTTCTGTTTCCCTTTTTTTGAATTTACTCAAGGAATTTCGGTGCCACTGGCTAGGCCATGATTTATTGTGTTTCCCTGATTGTCCTTGAGAATGGTATTAAAAGTCACATTCCTGAAAAGCTACAACATCTGAGGTGTAAATATATACAGACTATTGTTAGGAAAGCTGTTCCAGGACAAATAACTAAAAAGTGTGCGCAGTCACTCACAACCGATATGAGCCGAGCTCTTTTTTTTATATCTGAGATGTTATCACACACAACCAAACGATTTTTCCACCACCTAATCACCAGACTCTTCTTTTTGTTTTTAACTATTATCCACTATCTGTGCAGCCAATTAGAAGTGTACATGCAAAGCCTGTTCCGGGCAATGTGAACCATCGAAAGTTAGAGGGGAAGAGACAAAATCAAAATGGAGTTGGAGGGGTAGATAAAGGACTGTACACCATACCCCCCCAGCCCAGCCCACCGGAGTGCACATCTCTCTAAAGGCATCAAGAGCATTGGTGGACAGCATGTGTCCCCTCTCCAAGGACACCAGGTCATGAACATTGCTGCAGAAGAGGGGTAGACAGTCAGCAGAAATGACCCCCTCCACAGCCCGCTGCCTGGACCTTTTAAAAGCCAATTTGGTCAGGACCGGGAACAGACTTGAATACACCGCTCCGCATTAGATACCAAAAGAACAGAAGCTTGGAGCTGAAGTGCGACCAAAAGTACAACAAAAGATTTTCCAAATAACTATTCAGAGGGAGGTACAATCGCCCACAACCAATAAGAAATCAGCTCTTGAAAACAATATCCAAAACGTATCTCATGTTATCAGTCAATTATGGAGCTATTCCAATCGACCCGTAATTGCATTCCTAACACTGGCACTTCAGAACATGAGCCTGGGTTTTTGAATTACTGGCTAAGTAACATTACCATTATGCCACTGTCTCCAGTTAATACACTCCAATGCTGAACTATGTTACAACTATCAAGTCAAAAGACTGTGGTCTATTACACAATCTTGCAAAAATGAACAAAGGCTCATGGTTTATTGTAAATTTAGTCTTGACTTCTGCTCCAGGTTTATAGGACAATAAGACCATAAGAAATAGGAACAGGAGTAGGACATTGGCACCTCCACCCTGCTCTGCCTTTCCATAGAATTATGGCTGATCTGACATTCCTCAGATCCACTTTCATGCCCTTTCCCCATAACCCTTGATCCTCCTACTTATCAAGAATCCATCGATCTCAGCCTTAAATATATTCAAGGACTCTTCCCCCACAGCTGTCTGTGGCTAGAAGTTCCAAAGTCACACAATCCACTGAGAGAAGAAATTCGTCATCATCTCAGTCTTAAATTGGTAGCCCTCTGTTCTGAGACTATGCCCTCTGGTGCTAGGCTCTCCCATGAGGGGAAACATCCTCTCAGCATTTATCCTGTCAAGTACCTTAAGAATCCTGTATGTTTCAATGAGATCACCTCTCATTCATCTAAACTTCAGGGAGAAGAGTCTGACTTGTTTAGCATTTGCTCATACGGCAATCCCTCCATATCAAGGTTCATCCTAGTGAACATTTTCTGAACTGCGTCCAATGAAATGATATCTTTCCTTAAATAAGGGGACAAAAACTGCTCATAATACTCTAGATGTGTTCTCTCTGGGACCTTGTACAGTTGCAGTAAGACTTCCCCATTCCTGTACTCCAACCTCTTTGAAATAAGGGCCAACATTAGCCTTGCTGATTACCTGTGTGCTAGCTTTCTGTGTTTCATGCACAAGTAACCTCAAGTTCCTTTGTGATGCAACTTTATGCAGTTTTTCTCCATTTAAATAATAAGTTGTTCTTTTGTTCTCTCTTCCAAAATGAATAACTTTGCATTTTCCCACATCATAACATTATTTGCCAATTTTTTGCCCACTTATTTAACTTGTTTGTTAATGGAATGTTTCTCTTTGTTAAGTTTTCATTTCATGCTAACTTTGTAGTTACTCCTGAGCTGCTCAGGCAGTGCTTACCTTATTTATTTCAGCGGAAGATAACGTGATGCTGTACAATTGGTTCTTATTTGTGCTAGCAATTAGCGCCTCCTCTGAGGGACTGAGGGCAAGAGTTGAAATCTCTTGCTGTTCTGCGTGGGTTGGATCTGTGCTGTATGGATCCTGTGGAATCTGGAGGGCAACACAGAATAGGATTTCAGACAAAAAGGTGATACTGAGGAGAAGGCACACAGATAACTTAAAAATCTTTTCACAAACGATGCTCAAAATGCTCTCCAGTATCTCCTGGAGATTTTCACCACCTGCAGGCTTCCTGTCAAGTCGTACAATTCATCCCAAATTGGAATTGTATTGCAATTTAGTCAATATCCTAGAATTCTTATCACTGTAGAAGCATCTACATTGTATACACTGCAGCAATTCAAGAAGATGACTCAATATCAACTTCTCAATGGCAGCTAAAGAATGCCAATAAATGATGAATCATTGCCATTGATTCCTATCACATGAACAAATACAAAATAAAGAGAAGGCCAAAAAATGGGATCTTGTAGAAGATTAAATTTCCTTTTGGTGATAGAAGACTGGAAATGAGTGACTTTCAAAGCAATGTCATGCCTAAAACTAACTGATTGATGGCAATATTAAGAGCTGGCCATCTTGCCTATCACATTACAGGATGTGTGGTGGTAGACCCACCTCTCGGCTTTTTCTCACACGGTTCGAAATAATCCTGCAAGCCAATGGCCTAATCAAAGAATGGTTCTAGTTAAACAAGCAACCAAAAATTTAATAACACTCTGTACTGGTAAACTGTGTACTTGCAATGTTTTGGCAATATTGCTGGGTATTGTTGCCGAACAGGGAGACATTGGGGTTCAGGTACATACTTCTTTAAAAGTTCATCACAGATAGACAGGGTGGTGAAGAAGGCACTGGCCTTCATTGTTCAGACTATTCAGTATAGGAGTTTAGACGTCATGTTGTGGTTGTACAGGACGTCAGACTTTTGGAGTACTGCATACAGTTCTGGTCGCCCTGTTATAGGAAGGATATTATTAAGCTGGCGAGCGTTCAGAAAAGATTTACCAGGATGTTGCTGGGAATGGAGAGTTTGAGTTATAAGGAGAGGCTGGACAGACTGGGACTTCTTTCACTGGAGCATAGACGGTTGAGGGGTGACCTTACAGAAATTTATAAAATCATGAGGGGTATAGATAAGGTAAATGACAGGTGGCTTTTCCCTAGGGTGGGGGACTTCAAGACTAAGAGGCAATTTTTAAGGTGACAGGAGAAAGATTTAAAAGGCACCCGATGGGCAACTTTTTCACCCTGAGGGTGGTTTGTGTATGGAATGAACTGCCAGAGGAAGTGGTAGATGCTGATACAGTTACAACATTTAAAAGACATTTGGACAGGTACATGAATAAGAAAGGTTTATACTGATATGGGCCAACCACAGGCAAGTGGGAAACTCAGTTGACATGGACGAGTTAGACTGACAGGTCTGTTTCTGTGCTCTATGACTCGATGTATACCAGAGTCATCTGTTGCCAAACTATGCCTAAGCTTGCTAGGATAAGGATATAGGCTATGCCTTAAGGGACAACGCATATGCCTTCTTTTTTGGGCAAATGTAAACTGTATGTGCATGAATTTCTCATAATCTAGATTTGAGACTCCCAAGAGATTTTAGTCATAATGTAGTTATTTACTAAAGTAATTTCTGACAACTCATGAGGGGCATAGATAGGATAAAAGCATATAGTCTTTTTCCCAGGGATGGGGAATTGAAAACGAGAGGGCACAGGTTTAAGGTGAGAGGGGAAACATTTAAGGAAGACCTGAGGGGCAACTTCTTCACACAGAGAGTGGTATGTACATGGAATGGGCTGCCAGAGAAAGTGGTTGAGGCACGTACAATAGCAATATTTAAAAAGCATTTGGATAGGTACAGGGATGGGAATGGTTTAGAGGGATAGGGACCAGATGCAGGCAATTGGAACTAGCACCATGGTCAGCACGGACCACTTTGGGCCAAAGGGCCAGTTTCCACGCTGTATTATTCTATACTCTAACTAACTTCTGGAAATACTATTTTTTTTAAATAAAACGCTTCACTTCTTTGATGGTTAGAAATACTCTAGTGGATTTGAAATTAAAGCATAATTTTGCTTTTTTTGCCAATTTGCTAAATAACATTGTACTTTAAATTATTTTTCAATGTACAATGGCTGATATTGTATAAATAAGTGAAACAACTTTACATCAGTAAAATTTGGGAACTGAACAGAGAAGGTGAATCAACCTCAACAGGCAAACTTTCCCTCAGTTGTTTCATTCATTGAGAAGAAATGCACTTGTATAGTGTAGCTAAACTTACTATTATACCCTGAAGCAGCTTATCAGAAGAATCTGAAACAGTCAGTCCCAATGGTGTCTGCAGTGCTGTCCACAGAGAACTGATGTAAAACAGCAGAATGAACTTATACAGTTTATGTTACAATCAATGAATAATCAAAATCCAGGACCTTGCTAGTTGCCAGATAGGAAGATCATGGTTTACAGAGCTGTAGTGTTTCCTGCCCTCCTATATGGCTCTGAGACATAAACTATCTACAGCAGACACCTCAAGACACTGGAGCTGTACCATAAATGCTGCCTGTGCAAGATCCTTTGAATCCGCTGTGTGAAGAAAGATGCACCAAAATCCCTTGCATCAAGGCACGGACCACCCTTGATAGGCTATGATGGGCTAGACACATCATCCGCATGGCCAACATAAAACACCCCAAGCAGGTGCTCTACTCCCAACTTTGAAGGGGCAGGCAAGCCCCAGGTAGACAAAGGAAGTGCTTCAGTGATAACCTCAAGGTCTCACTGGTGAAATACGGCATTCCCACAGACACCTGGGAATCACTGGCCAAGACTGTCCAAAGTGCATCTGAGAAGACTTCGAGCACCATTGGGAAAAAATAGAAATCAGACAAAAACAGCGCTGCCACACCAATGCCCCATCCATCCCTTTCCGTGACTACCACCTGCCCCAAGTGTAAAGTAGCCTGTGGGAGCTGCAGCGGTCTGTACAGCCACATACAGACTCACCCTGAGATTGGAAGAGTCATCCTCGACTGAACAACAAGAGTTTATGGCATAATGAAATACTTCAATCAAAATGGCAACGGTGGAGATGGTGAATTTCAAGTATTAGTTAAAATGGATTGAAAAGCTACTCCCTGTTGCCATATTAAGTGACAATAACTGTGGGTAGAATTGGTACTAGGAAATATCAGTACTTATTCATCACATGTAAACATGTATCTTATACTTCCACATCATATATACACTGTTAATTTCTAAAATTTACTAAATAAGTAGCTCCAAATGCCTTTGAATCTTCTCAGTGCAAGAGACTATTACTGCTTTAAACACTCTTGACAATTATTATTCAATATTTATTGTTATTATTATTTCAGTCTCATCTGATGAAGAACTCACCCTAATCGCCCTCGTTTTTTTAAAGGTATCCTTCTCCTCTCCTCTTTCAAACATATACACTACACCAGGTCCAGCAGAGCACATAAACCCTTTGGAATAAGTTGTGATTGCTGACACTTTAGCTTCAGGAAGTGGAGGGGGAGGCATATGACTGATAGAGGCAGACTTTCTGTTAAGGTAACAACATCAAAGATATTACTTGAAATAATTTACTTATTTTTCCTAATTCTAAGACACAACTTAAATCATTGGTTATAGATTCTTCAATAGGAATGCAGCATTGCTAATAACACTGATGTGGAGATGTTGGTGTTGGGCTGGGTGGACAAGGTCAGGAATCACACGACACCAGGTTATAGTCCAATGGGTTTATTTGAAAACACAAGCTTTCGGAGGGTTGCCCCTTCATCAGGTGAAGTGAGAAAAAAACTACACAGAAGACAGAATTTATAAGTAAAAGATCAAAGGGTCACACGACTGAGTTTCCAAAAGGAAAGTTCCAAGTTTCCAAAAGGAAATGTTCACAGGAACAAGACAATTTCCTCCCAAAGTTAAGTAAGTACAAGCTTCATATTAGAAGTCAAATAGAATTCTAAAGAAAGCCTCATACCTGACATGGATTGTCTGACCTAAAACTTCACCTCTTCTTTACACTGATAAAACCTTTAGTTCTCTTAGGGCAGTGGCATGAAAGAAATTTGGGGAATTACATACACATATTAATCAATTAAAATCTTCTAACTGATTAAAGATTTAACAGCATCTTAGGTTTTGTTTAGTGCATCCTCATCAGTGGTGCAAACCTTTGATCATTTATTTATAAATTCTGGGTCTGATACTACCTCTCTCACTAACACCTGAAGAAGAAGTGAGGCTCCAAAAGCTTGTCATAGATCATAGAATCCCTACAGTGTGGAAACAGGCCCCCTGGCCCAACAAGTCCACACCGACCCTCAGAGCTTCCCACCCAGACCCATCCCCCTATAAACCCACCTAATCTACATATCCCTGAATACTACAGGCAATTTAGCATAGCCAATCCACCTAGCCTGCACATCTTTGGACTGTGGAACGAAACCGGAGCACCTGGAGGAAACCCACGCAGACACGGGGAGAATGTGCAAACTCCACACAGACAGGCATCCAAAGGTGGAATCAAATCCAGTCCCTGGCACTGTGATGCAGCAGTGCTAAACACTGAGCCAATTAACCTGTTGAACTATAGCCTGGTGTCGTGTGATTTCTGACCTTGTCCACCCTAGTCCAACACTTGGCACCTCCACAAGATCACAAATAGAATGGGATTAAGACATAAAAAATAAGATATTAGTTGTATGTTTTACAGGGAAGAACGGAATGGCAATGATAGAGCTAAATGGATAACAACAGAAGACAGAGATATGGATGGAGAAGAGAATGAAAGGTGTTGGAAATCAGCATTGAATTGGGTGAAAGGTAGGGAGAAAAAGAGAAAACTAACTATAGTTGATGGGAAAGCAATAAAAATAAACTGAAAGGGAGTGGGGAGAGAAAAAGGGTGCAAGAACATTTGAAGGAGGGGTTCAGGAATTATCTGTGCTATCAATATTCTTTGATTCTATGAAATAAAGTACAGGATGAATTCTGAGTTGGGTAGCTGTGAAGAATCAGCATAAATTATAGGCAGAAGGCTGTAAAATTCCAGAATAAAGTTAGAGTGGTTATCAGCATGAACTTCAGGGAGTGGGAGCACCAGGATAAATTAAAGGTGGTGGGGGGAGGAGAACAGAAATCGGCATAAACTCTGAGGCAACAGGGGAGTATCAGCATAAGTTCTGGAATGAGAGCAGGATGAAGCATCAGCATGAACTTTGGCAGCGCTAGTGGTTATCAGCATAAACTCCAGCAGGAGGCATACAAACCATGTGTATTATTTTGTAGGAAAGAAAAAAGTGAAGTATTGTTTTGCTATCACGTTACAGACCAGGTTTGATGGGTCTGGACAATCTTTTCCTGACAGTCAATTTCTATGTTCTTTTAACAATCGATTTCCACAAAAATCATGGCTACTCAAAGAGCTGTATATGAGAGTTGAAGATTTGTCTTAATTCCCTCCGTGCTTGGATCTCAAAAAGTAATGACAGATTCAAACTTAGGGTGCAGAAGACCATTCCTTTTGTAACGACTGGCTTCATTGATTTTTATCGACTTCAGCTGTAATCATTACAACCAATGACAGCACTGAAAGTCAATCTGCAGTTAGAACATAGAACTGGAGAGCACAGTACAGGCCTTTCGGCCCACGATGTTGTGCCGAACTTTTACCCTAAACGTAAGGTCTATCTAACCTCCACCCCTACCTTATACTATCACTCATATGCCTATCTAATAGCCGCTTAAATGCCCCTAATGAGGCCGACTCCACTACCCTCTCCGGCATTGCATCCCATGCCCCGACCACTCTCTAAGTAAAGAACCTACCTCTGACGTCTCCCCTACATCTACCTCCACTCACTTTAAAGCTATGCCTCCTCGTAATAGCTACCTCCACCCTAGGAAAAAGTTTCTGGCTGTCCACTCTAACTATACCTCTGATCATTTTGTACACCTCTATCAAGTCACCTCTCATCCTTCGTCGTTCTAAAGAGAAAAGCCCTAGAAAAGCTCTCTCAACCTTTCCTCATGAGACCTTCCCTCCATTCCAAACAACATCCTTGTAAATCTCCTCTGCACCTTTTCCAATGCTTACACATCTTTCCTGTAATAAGGCGACCAGAACTGGACACAATATTCCAGATATGGCCAGCTCAGGCTTTTGTATAGCTGGAGCATAACTTCACGGCTCTTGAACTCAATCCCTCTATTAATGAAAGCTAACGCACTATGCCCCTTATAAACAACTCTATCCACCTGGGTGGCAGCTTTCAGGGATCTGTGGACATGAACCCCAAGATCCCTCTGCTCCTCCATACTGCCAAGAATCTTTCCGTTAACCCTGTATTCTGCTTTCAAGTTTGTCCTTCCAAAATGAATCACCTCACACTTTTCAGGGTTAAACTCCATCTGCCACCTCTCAGCCCAGCTCTGTATCCTATCAATGTCCCTTTGTAACCTAGAACTGCTCTCCGCACTATCCACAACTTGACCCACCTTCGTATCGTCCACGAACTTACTAATCCACCCTTCCACTCCTTCATCCAAATCATTTACAGAAATCACAAATAGAAGAGGACCCAGAACAGATCCTTGTGGTACACCACTCGTAACTGAGCACCATGTTGAATATTTTCCGTCCACTACCACCCTTTGTCTTCTAAGGATCAGCCAATTCTGAATCCAATCTGCCACATCTGCCCCTATCCCACGCCTCTTATTTTCTGCAAGAGCCTACCATGAGAACCTTATCAAACACCTTACTTAAATCCATGTATACCACATCCAGTGCTCTACCTTCATCCACGTGTTTGGTCACCTCTTCAAAGGATTCAGTAAGGTTTCTGAGCATGATCTACCCCTCACAAATCCATGCTGACAGTTTATCAAAAGCAAAATTTTTTTGCCGTAAATAGCACCAATATAGTAAGTTGCATAAAATGCATAAACACATTTAATCTTAATTATCACACCCTTTAGAAAGAAAATGCCAGTAGAAAAGAAAATGCTAGTATGATTTAAATCAATGCAAATCACAGGATTGTGAATGGATGGAATGCTCAGAGTAAGAAATTTGAGGACCATCAGTTCTTTTTGCTCTATTTGTTTATTCCTGGTGTTTCCAATGTTAAATCAGTTTCCTGCTATAACAGCACAAATTATTTAGGTAGCCTTTTCAGTACTTTTTTATTAACATAACAAGAAATAACTGAGAATGCATTAATATTTAGAGAGGATCACCAACCAAAAACTGTTTTTGAACCAGTAACTATTGAGTAAATACAGCGAGTTATGTTAGGGACTGTATTGTCTCCATTCATGCTGTACCTGACATCTAGTACCATAGTGTACTCCCAGCGCAGTTCCGCCAACTCAAACAGGTAAAGTTTTCCTGTGTCAGTGCCAACAATGATGTGATCCTCAGGCATCCATGAATGTGCGAGAAAGTTCTGTAGTTCAAACTTTTGGAAGTTTGTTTGTTTGAGATTTCCATCAGAATATCGTAAGAGTTTTAAAATACCATCCCCAACCAAACAGATCTGTGTGTTATCTTGAGGGTTGAAGCTGATCTAACATAGAAAAGAAAATTAAAAGGTTGTGTATGCAGCACATTCCAGGAATCACAATGATGTCTGTGATACATTAAACAGACTGTACTGCACTGTTTTGAGGGAGGCAAAATGCAACAATTACTGGAACCAGTTTCAGTCATGATAGTGATGATATATTCCAATTCTTATGCAAGTCCATTAATTGCTGAAGAAAGGATCAAAGCACGATCAGCTAACGAATAGAAATAAGTGTAGAGAAAGATGATAAAATACTCTATGAAATAAAACATTGTACCTCCCTTGCTTTGTTTAATTTTCAACAGACCTGAATGTAACAATGAAAAACAACACAGAAAACATGTGAAGCTGCAACTATATCTACCAGCTAGGTACTGAAGGCCAGTACCTACCATATATTAATCAGAAGTGGGAAATAGTTGTTCACACCCTCACCTATTTTTCTCTTTTAGCTTGTTATTTTTATATCCAAACTTCTAAATAGATGTATGCAACTGAACCTGAAATGATGACAATTGGGGAAGTAGAAGCATCTGACCAAACATGTACACATGGCTGAGACGATTAAAATTGAATAAATAAATTCCATCTCTAACTCTAATCCTAATCCATCAGAACACTTTCCAAAACTTTACTCATTCACAACACTATCTTAGTCATGCCCACAACTAGAACTTAAAAATTATAGACAATGAAACCTCCAGAGTTTAAGATCTTTTCTTCTCCCATTTGTTAACATTCACTTTTGAACAGCATTATTGACAGTAGGCATTAATTTGACTTATGTGCCACATTTATTAATACAGTCTTGTCATTAAGATCAGTTAAATTTTCCTGAAAAGTAGAAACACTCCTCAGAGTAGAAGAAGCAAACATTTAAGCATCTTAGTTATTCTGACTTACTCACGAACTGGTTGGCAACGAGGAATATATTTGATTTCACCATCACTTACATATTCAAATTGTAGTTACAGTACATAAGGAGGCCACCTGGTCCATAATATCTACATGGGCTCTCAACAAGTGCAACTCATGCAGTGTCATTCCCTGACCGTGTCTCTCCATACAATTATCCAGTACTCTTGTGAGAAACATGGCAGAATTTACCTCCACCACACTCACAGGCTGTGTATTTCAGGTCCTAACTCCCTCACTCTGGAAGAATGTTGTTTCTCTCAAGTCACATAAAAAAAACATAGAACATAGAACAGTACAGCACAGTACAGGCCCTTTGGCCCACGATGTTGTGCCGAACAATTTTGGTCACCTTTGGTTCTTTTCTCATTCACCTCATGGTCCTTTGGTTCTCAAACTTTGTGCCAATGGGAGCAGTTTCTTTCCCCACCTCTCCATCCTGATAATTCATGATTATGAACACCACCATTAAATCTCCTCTCAATCTTCACTAAGAACAGCGCTACCAGTTCAATTTAGGTTGTACGTCTACCCACAAAGCCTTCCTTCCTAAAGTGACAATTCTTTATTAACTTTTCCCCATCACATAAATTCCTATAAATTTACATTATAACAGAAATTGCCTATATAAGCCTGTCTTGCTACAATCACACCTTTCCATCAATTGTGTGACTGCATCTTCCAGCTCCTCAGCCTGGAATGTACTGAAATTTCCAAGCTGCAATTAGCTCTGCTTTCAAAATTGTCTAAGGTCTCAACTTGGATATATATTACCATTTAATACTCAGAACTGGATCAAAATCCCAGAATTCCCTATCTAACAGTGCATATTCTGTCGCAGTTCATATTAATTTAATATTAAGGACAAATAGAAACAGGTAATAAATAGGCATTATTAGACTCACCCCTTTCTGAACAATATCTTTTAAAAAGTTTGACTTCCAATGGTACATCCATAAAATCAAATAATTATGTAAATATAGGATTATAACTTTAAACTGGAAATTAACTTACAATTATTCCTTAATGCCTGTGATTCACATGGTGGATGGAATTGAATGCCCTCCCCGTGTAGCATTGGGAAAATTTAAACATGCATGAGGGAGGCCATCACCTTCCTGCTTCAGGTCCAACTACATCCATAGCAGGAAGGCTTGTGAATGACCAACCTAATGCCAGTTGAGACCCTAAAGTAAGCGACTGATGTCCACTAAAGGTTTCATCCATCTGCCACCAGTATTAACCCAGCAGCAGATGGTGGATTCATGAAGCAGAGAGCAAGAAAAGTAAACCATGTGTGGGTTGTGTGGGGGTGTCTGGGGGAGGGTAAAGTGGGGGACATGGTTGTTATTGGTGTCCCTCATTCCCAGGCATCAGTGCCTGATCAAGGGAATCAGAAGCAGGTATGGGATGCACACAAGTGCTACCCCTTTCCCTTGCTGCTGATTTGCTCCCCACCCCTTCCTCTGACCCCACCACACAGTCCTCCTCATGCTACCAATCCACTGTGGCCTGGGTCCCTTGGCAGTCAGAAACTCAGGTGGCTGGGATACCAGCAGCAGCCATTGTCTCCCTGGTGGTGCTGCCAAGCAATGAAGACATGCTTCAGTGGGCAGGTCTTCCTAATTGGCACTTAAATTGGTGGATCTCCTGGAAAGAAATCAGAAATCCTGAACCCCTACTGTGTCCTGTGTCTACCCTTAAGCTTCAAAGATGAAGATTATGCAAATCAGGTTGGAAACAACAGGAAATCCTCCTGACTACAGTGTCATGGGACATGGGTGATTTTATCTTCATGGTTTCATTCACATGTGCACAGGCATGCAATGTCAGGCAGTGAGCATTAGGCACTTCTCAAAATACCTGAGCACTGGGGTGGAGTAAGAATCTCCACTTTGTCCTTCTCTCTGAGATCCTAACTAGGAAGAGGAAAAGGAATGCCAACTGCCACAATGATTATTTGAATCTAGTTTTACTCATTCTTTGATAGAAGTTCAAATATAGTGGGAAATATTTAATACATGGTCAAGGCAGTGAAAAGTAAGATTTTGCATTTCACCTAATCTTTCTTTCTGCTTTCTAAATATTTTAATAGTTTTCACAAAATAAATATAAAATTGCATGGCACTGACATTACTGCCTTCAGGTACTTGAGCCAAATCCATCATCCAAAATCCTGACGTAAATTGGAAAACTTGTTTTGTTTTGAATTAGTAGTCATTTTTTAAAGAAATGAGAAATACTGGTGGTTGAAGGTAGCGGCACAGAGTTACCAATGATTACCTGGTAGATAGGGTTTGTGTTTGTGGTAGTTTTCATAACACCTATGATTTTCTGTTTCTTCCATAACCAGTAGATCAGCGTCCAATCAGGTGTCCCAGATTGTGCAATCAAGTATTTGGAGTCTGGCGAAAAGGCAATACTGATAAACTCTTGAGCGTGAAGATCATTGACACTTAGTGACTTTTTCTTTCTGCTTTGATCATGCTGTACATCATATATAGTCACTGTGGCTTTTTCACCCTTTTCAGAAACAGCCAGGTATCGGTGATTGGGGCTAAAAGCAAGAACCAACATCCCTTGGCTTTTTTCAGAACCTGCATTCAACAGTATGACATAAACATAGGTTATTAATTAATGACTTTAAAATGGGTAGAATCATGGTGGCATGCTGCATGGCCATATCAAAAGTAAAATCCTGCATTTTCTTTGTTGGAGTAAGGAAAATTGGATGTCCTAATATAGAATGTTCTCAAAGCAATGTACACATACAAGTGCAATACAAACAAGGCAGCTTGTTTCATGTAAACCTCCTAGCAAGTTTTCACTGTCATTTGGATGACCTGGAAAAGGTTCAGCAGAAGGACACAGCTTTCTATGGAAAGTCAGTAGGTAAGCTATTCTGGCTGGTGTGGCAATTACCCTTTGGTTTAGTTTCAGAACCATTACAGCTGGTCAATCAGGGATGAATTACAAAAAGCTAGCATGCAAGCCCAGTGGGAGATAGGGCAGGCAAATGGAATGCTGGCCTTTATTTTAAAAGGAATGGTGTATAAAAATGGGAAATAAAAACAGAAATTGCTGGAAAAGTTCAACAGGTTTGGCAGCATCTGTGGAGAGAAATCAAAGTTAATGTTTTGGGAATGTGACCCTTCCTCACAGCTGTCACTCGACCTGAAATATTAACTTTCATTTGTCTCCACAGATGCTGGCCAGACCTGCTGAGCTTTTCCAGCAATTTCTATTTTTATAAAAGATAGGAAGGTCTTCCTAAACCTATACAAAGTACTAGTCAAAGGACACCTGGAATACTGTGAACAGTTTTGGGTTCCTTTGCTTAACGAAAGATACAGTGACATTAGCAGCAGTCTAGAGAAGGTACACTAGGTTGATTTTGGGTATGGAAAAATTTTAATAGGAGATCAAGCAGGTTGGGTTTTTACTCATCGGAGTTTAGAAAAATGAGAGACTTTTTTGAAACATACACGATTCTTAGGGAGTCCAACAGGATAAGTTAGAGAAGTTGCTGCCCCTGTGAGAGGGTAAAAAGAGGGCTGTTGATGCTGAGTTATTAAGCATATTCAAGGTTAAGGTAGAAACATAGAAAGGAAATTAAGGGCTACAGGGACAAAGCAGGAACACAGAGTTAAGGATTATCAGATTTTTTTTATTCATTCTTGGGAAGAAGGCATAGCTGACTAGTCCAGCATTTATTGCCCATCCCTAATTGCCCGGAGGGCAGTTCCAAGTCAACCACATTGCTGTGGATCTGGAGTCACATGTAGGGCAGACCAGGTAAGGGGAGCAGTTTCCTTTCCTAAATGACATTAGTGAATCAGATGGGTTTTTCCTGACAATCGATTCATGGTCATCATTAGACTCTTAATTCTAGATATTTACTGAATTCAAATTCCACCAGCTGCTGTGGCGGGATTTGAACCTGGGTCCCCAGAACATTAGCTGAGTTTCTGGATTAATAGTCTACCAATAATACCACTAGGCCATCGCCTACCCTGTTCCTATTCAACCATGATCATCCACAAGTTTCTTTGGACATCCATAGTATTTAATTTATACCATCTAGCAAGTGCCCTGATCTATACTTTTTCAGTCCAGAATGGATGACCTCACACTTGCTTACATTGAACTCTATCTGCCACAGTTTTATCCATTCACTTAGTCTACCATCTGCCCTGTCTATAATGCCTATGACATGGGACACCACTGGTCACATCCTGCCAATTTGAGCAACTATGCATTATCTTTACTTTCTATCACCTGCCACTCAACCAATTTCCCAGCCATGTCAGTAATTTACCCTAAATTCCATGGCCTTCTACCTTAGTTGACGGTCTCTTGTATGGGACTTCATTAAATGCCTTCTGAAGTCCACATAAACAACATATATAGGCATTCCCCTGTCCACAACCTTAATCACCTCTTGAAAAAAAAAGGGTCTAGGACCAAAACATCAGCCTTCCTGCTCCTCTGATGCTGCTTGGCCTGCTGTGTTCATCCAGCTCTACACCTTGTTGTCTTCAATAGGATTGTCAGGCATGACCTACTTGTCATGAATCCATGCTGGCTCCCTCTGATTAACTGAAAATTTTCAGTTACCCCCATCCTTGATTATAGACTCTAACAATTTTCCCACCATAGATGTTAGGCTAACAGGTCTGCAACTTTCTGCTTTTCCTCTTTTGCCCATCTGCATGGACGAGTTGGACCGAAGGGTCTATTTCTGTGTGTATGACTCTATGACTCTGTGTACCATTTTCCAACTCAGAGAGAAATCATCTGTTTCTCAGGAACTCTGAAAGATTAAATAAGGGCTTCTATATATGCTCCCCTACTTCCTTTAACACTCTCGGCTGGAAAATTTTATCAGTCTCTATTCCTGATCCACTACTAATTTCCTCAGGACAACCAGCAAGCTATCCTCCTTTTCTACTGCAAATACTGAGGCAAAATAATTGTTCAACATGTCTGCCATTTCCCATAGTCATTAGCAATACACCTACTATCAGTCTTTAGTGGGCTAACGTTGCTTCTGACCGACTTTTTCTTCATGAAACTACAAAATTTCTTCCAGTTAATTCTGATGTCCCTGGCAAGTTTCCTTTCATAATCCCTTTTAGTAGCTCTTATAAGTTGCTCTGCTTGTCTTTGTGTCTTTCCTGGTCTTTCCCATTCAGTAGGATCTGTGCTCTTTTTTGCATTTTTATAAGCTCTTTCTTTTAGTTTTATGTTACCCATATCTCTTTAGTTGTCAATTTAGTTTTTTCTGTGAAGTGGAGTTTTCACTCTGGGGGTATAAACTAGTTTTGTATTGTGTTAAATGTTTCTTTAAATATCCTCCACTCTTCTTCAGTTGTTTTGCCCATTAGCTTGTTTTCCTAGTTCACCCCAAATGAGCTCTGTCTCATCTTGTTAGAGTTGACCTTACCTTACTAAAACTCTAGCAGCTGACTAATTTTTTTTTGCTTTCACTATATTGAACTCAATCATTTTATGATCACTGTTTGATAAATGTTTATGCACAATTAGGTTACTAATGAAATCTAGCTCATTAATCATTTAGCACTGATGCCTCACAGCTCCCTCCTCCAATTCATTACTACAGACACTAAATAATTGAGACCCTCAGTATGCCTTTCCAATGTGAAAAAGACCCACTACTCCCAACTCCCTGTCATCTGTGTGTTAACCAATCCTCAATCCATGTTAATAGTTTACCCTCAATGCTGTATCTGCAATAACCTTTTATGTAGCACCTTGTTGAATCCTCCTGAAAACTGAAATACGCTATATCTACTGATTTTACCTTTATCAACTTTGCTTATTATATCCTCAAAGAACTCAAGAAAGTTTGTCAAACATGACCACTTTCACAAAACCATGTTTATTGTATTTAATTGTGTTCAGCTTTTCTAAATGTCCTGACTTTTTTTCCTTAATAACAGTTTAATGCAATGATAGATGCTATGCCAACTGGTCTCCTGTTTCCTGTCTCCCTCCCTTCTTCAACAAGAGCACCACTTTGGTGGTTTAAAGTTCTTGCTAGGATTTGTAGGTCGAGTTGTGAATGAGGTTGTTGGCTTGCTTGGCAAGCAAGCCAACAACGCCACTTTAATGGTTTTCTAATCTACAGGAATCCTTCTGTATTCTGGATTCTGGAATGCCTTCACAATCTCTGCAGCCATTTCCTTCAAAATTGTTTGATGCGAGTCATCAAGTCCTGGTGACTTGTCTGCCATTAGTTTGTCAAGTACCTAGGTCTTCGTGCTACAGACTGTTACAAGATCCTTCCTCCCATTAGCAGCTTGTTTGCCTGTTATTTCAGGGATATTTACTGTCCTCTACCATGCAATCCATGCAAAATAATGGTTTAAGTTATCTGCCATTTCCTTGTTCAACGTTATTAATTCCTCCATTGCATCCTCCAAGGATCCTACACTTAAGTTAGCTGCTCGCTTTCTGTCCATATACCCGTAGAAGCTCTTACTGTTTGTTTTTATATTTCTTGCCAAGTTATTTTCATAATCAATTTTCTCCCTCTTTGTTAGATTTTTTGGTCATCTGCTGCTGGTTCTTAAAAGATATCAAATCCTCTGGACCACTAGTTTTCATCATTTTCTGTTCCTGAGTTTCGATTGGATATCCTCATTGGCCACATTTGTTGACCATAGTTGCTTCGCCTTCCTCATTGCATCCTTCTTTTTGACCAGAATAAAGTTTTGATAAGCCTAATGAACTATCTGCTTAAACATCTGCCACTGTTCATCCACTGACTTTACCCTCAGTCTATTTTTCCAGTCCATTTTAGATAGCTCTTTCTTCATACCTCTGTAATTGCCATTATTTAAACTGAGGACACTGATTTGAGACCTGGGTTGCTCCTCCTGAAACTGAATTTTAAATTCTAACATGTTGTGATCGCCTCCCTTTACAGAATTCTTAACTACGAGATCTCTTACAAATCTTACCTTGTTAAACATTGCCTGATCTAAAATAGCCTGTTCCTGAGTAAGTTCTGAAAACCACTATGAGATTACACATTTGGCAAGTGGAAGAGCAAATATAGACCCCATGCATGATATAAAATTGCTGAAGACTTGTTGATGGATAAAGAAACCAAGACTTCAATTCTGCAAATGGTTGAAGAAAACCCATCAAATTGCCACCTGAACCATAACGGAAAATTCCCCACCAGGATAAACATCATCCTGACTTGGAACTTCATCACCATTCCTTGACTGCCCCTACATCAAAATCCTGGAACTCCCTTCCTAAGGGCACAATGGGTGTGCCTACACCACATGGATACCAAGCTTCCAAAAGTCAGCTCAGTATCAACTTTTCAAGGGCATTTAGAGATGGACAATAATTTCACACCCAAACATCGATGCCCACATTCCCATGAATGAATTTTAAAAAACACAGGGATTTCAGTTTACTGTATCTAATACTAAGGTTGCATTTGTGCACAACTAACAAGCCATTCTCTTCGAGTTAAAGTTTCTTACCTGGAATGAATTTCTGCCATTTCTGGTCAACATTGTAACGCACACAGTTGCTTCCAGCTGGGTATATTATGCTTTGATCATCAAAGTACAAAACATTATTAACAACAGAGGATCGTAACCCAAAAATGTGATGGGCCTGAACCAGTGGTGTAGTCATAGTGAATCGTTAGGTAGGGATCCCTTTTTTAATACGGTTTTTCTCTTTCAATACTTTTGTCTACATGTCTTACTCGGAAACCACATCTTCATATTTCCAACATAGCCTCTAGCTCAGGTACACTTTCTTGGTCATTGATACTTATATACTGAGTAGCCTTCCCACACTATCTTATACTTTTTTTTACAAGCTGTCACTTTTCCTACATAGCCTATGCCTCTCTAATACTTAGCCTTCTGCCCTCCCTAACATGCTCAGTCCAACTCGTGTTTTCATATATTCTCTGATCTAATTTGTGCCTGTCAGAAACTCTCTAACATTATTTCTGCCTGCCTCACTCTTTGGAACACTGAACTCTATTGTTTGTCTTAATCACTCAAGTGCATTGTGCCCCATTTTAGCACAATAACTCTCTACCACTGTGTCTACAGCTCTAATTTTGCCTAGTGTGCTTTCTCTACATCTATCATTCTCCCTTTCTATGAGTCTTTTTAATCACCCTCCGACTCTATGACATTGTCGCCCCAGTGTGTTCTCTCTTTCTAACACTCTATAACTCTTTACCCCTCTCTTCACTCTGTGTGACTTCCTGTGACTCTCCCTCTGCTTTATCACTCTCCCCCTGCTTTATCACTCTCCCCCTCTCAAATCACTCTCTGTCTCTACCAATCTCTCTCTCACTCCCTCTATCAATCTCCTTGTCTCTCTCTATCACACTCTCTCCTTTTCTCTATCCCTCTCTCTCTATAACTCTCCACCTCTCCCGGACCTTTCCTGTTTCCCCTCTTCCCTGACCAGTCACACACTGTCTCTCTCTCTCTGTCACTCCTCTCTCCTTCTCTCTGTCTCTATCCCTCTCCCTCTCTATAGTTCTCCTCCTCTTCCCTGACCAGACACACACTGTCTCTCTCTCTCTCTCTCTCTATCACTCCTCTCTCCTTCTCTCTGTCTCTATCCCTCTCCCTGATCTATCACTCTTCCCTCTGTCTCAATCTCTCTCTCTCCCTGACCTATTTCACTCTCTCTCTCCCTCCCCCCTATGCTCTGTAAACCTCTATATCTCCCTCACACTCTCTAACGCGACCGAGTTGTTGTAAATAACGCCGTTACCATGGACACCGGCCCGGAACCAGCTGGAAATTACCGGAAGTGACGGCCGCTGGAGTTGCAGGTGGACGGGGTCGGGGTAAGAGACTGACTCACACAACCCCCCCCCCGGGAGGGGTGTGTGTAACTCACTGACCCGGGGGGGTGAGGGTGTGTGTGTGTAACTCACTGACCCGGGGGGGTGAGGGTGTGTGTAACTCACTGACCCGGGGGGCAAGGGTGTGTGTGTGTAACTCACTGACCCGGGGGGGGGGGGGG